TGAATCATGGTGCGAATGAGTTATAATGCGTTTTTTTCGAGTTTTTCTATTTAAACGGGTCAAAACACCGTTTTAGCGTTTTCGTGTCTGCATGGGTAAGAGCACTATGCCAGTTAGTCGAACAATTTATTTCAATTAATCTAATTCAATTCTATGCAAACAACTATGTAAACGCGTTTGCTACTGCAGTAGATTTATTTGAATCACAATGTGAAACATTGATTCAACAATTCATCTTGCCCACTTCAAATAGTTTCTCGTTATCTTTAACATGGATACGTCATACTACTGAAGCCAATGCTCTACTTTCAGCTTTAGAAACCAATTATTATCTTTCTACAAAGTCTGACGCAACTAGTGTGACGAGAATTGAAAGAGCATATGGCAGTAATTGTAATTGCGCTTCGACTAGTTCATGTACTTCATACTCAGCCATTCACAAGAACACATCGTCGAAATCAGGGTGGAATGTGCCAGGTTTCTATATAGGATGCTATATCCTAGAGGCACTACAAAAATCTCATTTTTATTGTTTGTACAATCAGAAATGCTTTAATGAACTGCTTCTTCACATACCATTAAATTCATCGGTAAATGCAACGCTTTTGAATGCGACGATGTTGAGTTACTTTCAGACAAACACAACTTTTGGAACTATGCTGAACGAGTTGATGGTGGAGGAATGGAACTGGACAATTAATTATGAGTCTTATTATTCTTCGTGTCAACCATCACAATGTAGCTACACCCTCCGCACGAAAAATGATGCTATTTACATAGTTACAACGTTAATTGGCCTCATTGGTGGACTGGTGACAGCCTTGAAACTCACGGTACATCGTTTTATCATGTTTATCAGGAGGCGATTTAACCGAAGAAAAATAGGAATCAATGCTACAAAACATAGTGAGTTAATATTGATACTTATTAGTGCAAATTAATATAATAAAAATGCCCATTTAATTGACTTTATTAGAAATTGATTTCCCTTTAATCGAATGAAAATTTCACATAGTGATAGAGTAGCCTATTTCAAAAAAATTCTCATAGGAATATTTGTTAATGGGTCCAAAAGACCATATCCGAAATGAAATAGAAATAAATTAATAAAAAATTCTAATCCAGGATATGAAATCGATCGAAATGTGGAATTGTTAAGAATTAGTCAATGAATTACTTCTGCAATAAAGAATCAATAAAGAATCATTTTTAAGCAAATATTTGTATGGAATTCTATGAACTTATGAATAATTAAATTGCTTATCACTCTATAAAATATACTAATAAGTAAGATGATTCGATTCTTAGCGAAAGAAATCGAAAAGGAAACAGAAACATATTTAGCATTTTCATCGGGTTGCATAAAATTGCTTTTTGCAGTCACTTTGAATAAAAAAAATACTTTTTAAAAGAAGTACAAACCAATCTTTTCTATTCGGTGATTTATTTGACGTCTGAGATGTTACGATAATGAACTAGAGCATGATATCAAATTCATAAATTCGTATAACATAATAAAAATGCATGTGAAAGCAGTACTTGCATAAACTATTGAATATTTAAGAATACTCAATTTTATCAGTAGAGTGTAACCGAAGTTTACACCTTCACCCTCAACAATAATAGTTAGCCGTGACTCTCATCATAAATCAATCAGATAATAATAAATCAGATAAATAATCAAACGAGCAATCAGAAATTATTCTCTAAAATCGCTCGATAAGTATTAATGGAATTTTTCTAGTAGCAAATTCTAAAGATTGAAAAAATTCATATAAAAGACGAAAAATTAGAAAATACATTTTACTATATATTATGTTTTTAGCACAAGACGTGCAAGACGAAAAGCGTAAATTAAATCGTATCGTTATTCAACATTTGACTGAACTAAACGTATTTCCGTCGATACCACGTTCGACGAACATGGATGAACTTCGTACGCAACGAATATCAACTCGAGTGTTTATTGTGTCACTTATGCTGTCGCTCACGATACTTATTATCTATACATCAGCAGTAAGTGTTACCAAAACAGTTACTATTCAAACTCCAGATATCAATCAATACAAACAACTTTATGAACGATATCAAAAAACATTGTCATGTCCTTGCA